TTGAGTGATATGTATGTAAATATCAAATTTTGGGTGGTAGATATTGAAATATATAAGAATTGTGTGAAACGTACGTAAATGCCCATTTCAGTTATCATTCAAAGGGACAGTTATTAATTAAATGTGCCCCCCACCCCCATATTACAAAAACCAAAATAAAGAACAAGACAGTGCCTAGCCTATGGACAATTTTCTCTTTTGTGTCTCGTAAGGGAAATTTAGCCTTTTGTCATTAATCATTGTTTAGTATGTTTAGAGATACGGTTATCCATAAGATTGGGTCTTTAATCTTAGAGTTAAAGTTTTGAAGAGATCGCTTACCTCTTGAATAGTAGGATTTTGGAGAGATAACCAACATCTCAAATTATTGGTGTTTCTTTGTACGTATTTGGATTGTGTTGTTTGGTGTTCATGAAATAAAATATATATTGTCCTAAATTATACGTGAAAATTTGTGTCGTTTCCTATCAAATCGGTACAAAGCAATTAATTTAAGGGAGACCATCAACACGATGACGGTGAACAGAACTGGAACTCATTTCGCCACGGTGATCTCCGTGCACAAACGTACAAGCATGAGCAAAGACGGAATCACACAAAGAATCGCAATACAACCATGATAATAGCTATATGGGTCCGGATTCGTCTCAACCGGATCGATGTGTTCAGTGCTGAAACAATCCCTAGGAAGCAGCGGATATAATCATGTACAAGGCATTAAAATCAATTTGTTGTGTACAAGTCTTAGTCATAGCCTTCTGTGACCGAAAATTGCGATAGAGTCGTGATTGTCACGACAGCCTTCACGATCCAAAGCCCTCAACAGTAGCAATGAAACACAGTACAACGATCAATGTCGCGACTAGAGTGAACTTGGAAGCCGCGGACGGGATCACATGCAATCACACAACAAGCTGGGAAGTGGCCTCCAAATGGCGTAGGCGTACATAAACCCGAAACTAGATTGGGAAACCAATAACGACTCTCAAACCTCACAAAAGAGTTCCTCCTTACTCTTTAAAAACCGTACTCAAAGAGATGGCATCTGAAAAGATCAGATAATTTAGGGAAAAAAATTGAAGAAAGAGGTGAACCAACGTAAATCCGAGATAGAGAAAAGGTTTGCAACAATCGAGAAGTAGTTTTCATCTATTCAAAAACCTATTCGAGCTCTTGGAGAAGATGATGCAGAGGCTTATCAAGATATAATCCAAGACTGATGATTCATTTTACAAACCTTAATCTAGGGTTGACTGGAGATTCATTTGCTAGTTCAAAATAAAAAGATATACAAACCTTAATCTAGGGTTGACTGGAGATTCATTCAAAATAAAAAGATTTCGAACGAGAGAAACACTAAGAAGAAAGCATCCACCATCAAAAACATTCTCCCAAGATTTTAATGGGGTGTAGATTAGAGATTTTTGATAGAGGGAGTTAGGCCGAAACATGGAGAAGGAGTTATGCAAGAGGTATGGAGGAGCACAAAAAGGAAAAGAGAGAAATTGGGATGGGGTATATCTATTGATCAAAGATAGGGGACTTACCATTGATACATAGAGGAAAATAGCGGAGGAAGAGGAAATTAGGGCGGAGATGCCAGAGTTAGGAAGTTGAAGATGTCGATCTTCAAGAGAGAAGACGTACATGGGTGGGTAGTGAATGGGCTAAATAGGGAGGAGAAGTTCATAGAGGCAGGGTTATATTTGGAGGGGAAAGACTTAGCATAATTTCAGTGGAATGAGACTAGATACCTGATACCCTCGTGGGAAACATTTATGGATTGCTTGTAGGAACATTTCTAAGCCATACGGGAAAGAGACCTACATGAGCAATTCTTTGCATTGACTCAATAAAGGAATGTCATGGAGTATAGGGAGAGATTCGATCTAGAGCTGTTAACGATTTGATTTCGAGCCGAGCTAGGTCGGCTCGAAAACAATTCGATCGAAAATTTTCGCTCGTAGCTCCGCTAGTTTGTTTCGATTTGACCTCGATCCGAGCCAAAATTCGAATTAACATCACTAGGTTTATTAACAATCCAATTTCGAGTCGAGCTGGTCGGCTCGAAAACGGCTCAAAAAACAATTCGATCCAAAATCTTGGCACGTAGCTCGGCTCGTTTATTTCTTTCTGAGCCAAAATTTGAATCAATTTTCAAGCGGTTAACAATCTTTTAGCTAAATTCACAACCCTAATTCGATCTCTTATCGAAACGGTTGAGAATTTCCGAAGCAGTATGAGGAGGGGGGGCTTTATGAAGAATCTAAAGCCATACATAAGTGTAGTACTTCAGGCCACTAAGACAACAAGACTTGAGAGAAACTATGGAATTAGCGCATTTAATTGAAGTTTATAATGCAGTGAAACAAGCAAATAGAAACAGTGCAAGTTGAGCATCATACCAAACTAGTACAACCACGACGATAACAAAAGCTAAAATAATTGAAGCTTGGAGGAAGGGTTCAACTGCTTCACAAAATAATAATGATGGGTCACGACTATCAGTGACACTCAAGTGCTTTATGGAGAAAGATTCAGGAGAAACGAGTCAAGGGATTATGTTTTTAGTGTGATGTGAAGTTTTTCCTAAGATATTGTTGCAAGGATAGAACATTATAGATTCTCACAATGTATGATAAGGAGACGGAGGAATAAAACACAGAGATAGTTCTGGTGAAGAAGAAACACCCTCATCTTTTCCCACCATAAGGACAATGTATCTTTTGTGAGGAGAGTATTGATATGTCGGTGCTTGGAGTAAGAGCAATTTTGTCTTTTGTGCACCTAAGAATTCATGTAGTCGACCCCACTTAACGGGATAAATGTAGAATTCATGTAGCCGACCCCACTTAACGGGATAAATGCTTGTCATTGTTGTTGTGCACCTAAAAGCAATTTAGTTTTTTTATCTTTTATTATTGTTTAGCATAAATAGGGCTAATATATTTAGAAATAGGGTTATTTATGAGAGTGAGTCTTATATCTTAGGGTTAGGGTTTGGAGAAATTTCCTACTTCTTGAATTAGTGGATTTGGGAGAGATCGCCTAACTCTTGAATTGCAGGTTGTTATCATTTATTTTACCATAATTTCTACAGAGAATCCTATCAAATAACAATAGTTAAAAAGTTCATATATCATTTTGGTTTCGTCAAAAATATAAATAATTCACTTTTAGAAAGAGAGTGATGATCGTATTTTCTATGTGATGTTAAAGTTTTGAGTGGTATGAATGTACACTAAAATGCTTAGGTACCAGATAATTAATAACATAAGAATTGTTTGATATGCATGTAAAATGCCCAAAAATAGAAAAAAATCTATAATACACCATATTTCGTGACTGCAATCAATAGCAAATCTATCGAACAAGTAGCCATGCAATAATTTAGGAATAATTCAATGGCATTAGCATGATGATCATTTTTATAGCTTTATGGCCACATAATCTCAAATGTGGAGAACAGATGTTTTAACAGTGAAGCTATGTTTTAAATATACTCATAAATCAACATAAACACTGCAGGTAACTATATTCCCAATGGCTTAATATGGAACAATACGTGACAACTCGGCAAGCATATAAACAATTTAAAAAATGTTTTCAACATTTTTTTCTTAAAAACGGAAGATTTTAACATCAGCAAACAAATTGATAATTCAAACATCCATAAACATAATTAGTGCGCACCAAGGAACACAGGCTTAAATGAAATAATCACTAATTCATAATGCAGAGTTCAAGACAGTAATCAAGAACTGAAGTTATGGATGTTCAGAAAAACCAGTGGTTAGCAACACGATCATTAGCAGCAATATGGACCCCACAGGTGGAAGGAGACATGCAAAATATTCAACAAAATTAAGCTGTTAAGGCATATGCACCAGGCATGCTTTGAGAGTGGCTCATCCACAATAAAATTTACGAAGATTTACATATCACTCAATTCTTATGCATTCACATATCTAACACCAAAAATTTAATTTTTACATATATGCCACCATAACAATGCATGAAAAGGTGAATCTCACTTTTTGAAGCTAAAATACAGGTGCTTTTAATGTGACATGAAAGATTTGGTTGGTATAAAAAGAAAAAAAGTGAGGTTTAAGTGTTTAGATAAGTAAGTACATAGGAATTGTGTTGTATGTATGTAAATGCCACAAAAATTAAAATGATAGGTATGTAAATACGTAGGAATTGTATGGTTGTATGTAAATGCCCCTAAACTTTTGAATGAAATATTTAGAACTTTTTATTTTTTCTGAAGTAATGATATTCTAGCATAAAAAAAAAACCCCATAGAGCTTAAGAGGATAAATGTGTTAACTCTCAGGTAAATTGATAATGGAGACCAGTAAGGTCAACCACATCAGAGAAAACTCTTCATGCCGGCTTTACAATCACAGGTTAAATACATTAATGATCACTTTCAGATACCAAACAAAAATTGAAGTATGAATTCAACATATAAATAAACAAAAATAATATCTTTACAAATAAGAATATCCTACTCAGTAAAACTAATAAAAAATGAAATGATAGGAAATACGAAGCATGAAAAGAAATATCAGTACGTCAACAACACAATTGTAAAAAAGTTGTTACTTTATCAAAAGAAGCAAATTAAATAGCTCTTTGCCTGGCTTTTGCCTAAACAGAACAGTTCAAAAATTGACATTGTCTAAACGATACTACATAATCAAAATGAAATAGACTTCATCCAATACAAGGCACAGTCAGTATTGAGGAAATAATAACGAACAATTTAAGGTGTACCCATAACAAGTCTACGGAAACATAATTTTTTTAACTATACAATCTGTTTTCAAAAGCAAACAAATTGTTTTAGTATTTAAAAAAAAACACATTAGAAATACCTCCAATGCCAAACCAAACAATTTGTTCAAGTATTAAAAATAATAACAAACAATTAAGTGCACCCATGACATGGTATATGCAATCATAATTTTTTTTACTGAGCCAGTTATTTACCAAAAGCAACATAAAATTTAGAATTCTAACTAAAGAAAACTAATTGTGTAAGTATAAAAAATAACATAAAATCATTAGAAATACCTCCAATGCCAGACCATCTCTTATAAACTTGCAGAAAAGGAGTAATCGAGATAGCAAAAATTTGAGATCATAGGTGGTATCATGCATACAACTTTCCAGATTAATAGTTCGACATAAACATAACTAAACAAGAACTTCAGTACAAGAAGATTTCAAGAATTGTTGGGACCAGATGTTTGCATGAACAGTTTGTGGTTGCTTCCATGGAATATATGCATCAGCAAAATCAAAAATCTCGCTAGAAAAGTTTCCACTGATCTGAGCCTAAAACCTAATCTGCAAAATCATATATGCTCATCAAGTCAACCATTCCGTCTTCAGCTGAAGGATGCCAACATAGAGCATAATGATCAAAATAAATCAATTACCACATTAAAAACAACGATATGTAAATAAATAAGAACTGTGTGGTATGTATGCAAATGCCCAGTATAAAAGTTTTAGCAGTAAAAGAACCGTGTGTATTTTACACTATAATTTCATTACATCTACAGGATGATCAGTGACTTCAGTAAAAAATAAGGTAAGGCAGGATACCAAAAAGACAAATGATAACCTTCATGTAGAGAAAAATCACGGTGCAGCCGTTTCACTAAGTACAAATGCTTGAAGAAGACTCTGTGCAGCATGGGTTTGTTCAGGAGTTCCAGATATTAAAATGACAGTTTCCTTTGCTTCAGGTCTAGGCTCAGTGATGGTTATTTTGGCTTCTGATATCTGAAGATTCAAAGATTATACAAACTTAAAAAGGACCGATTGATTCAAAACATGAAAATTGCAGAAATTTCTAACCTCACGAATCCGCCTTAAGCAGCCACCATCCTCTCCATAAATGGAAGGAACAAGGGCTCTAGGAACAACAACATCCACTGTTGTATGAGTAGCTAAAGCTGACTGGTTTCCTCTGCAAATTTAACAAGGCAGAGAAAAAATTAAATGAAAACGTGAAAATCAACAAGAAGAGAGGAGGCATTTACATACGTACAAGATTTTTGGGTGGTATAAATGTAGAAAGCAATGTTTAAGTATTAGATATGTAAATAAATAAGAACTGTGTGGTATGTATGCAAATGCCCAGTATAAAAGTTTTAGCAGTAAAAGAACCGTGTGTATTTTACACTATAATTTCATTACATCTACAGGATGATCAGTGACTTCAGTAAAAAATAAGGTAAGGCAGGATACCAAAAAGACAAATGATAACCTTCATGTAGAGAAAAATCACGGTGCAGCCGTTTCACTAAGTACAAATGCTTGAAGAAGACTCTGTGCAGCATGGGTTTGTTCAGGAGTTCCAGATATTAAAATGACAGTTTCCTTTGCTTCAGGTCTAGGCTCAGTGATGGTTATTTTGGCTTCTGATATCTGAAGATTCAAAGATTATACAAACTTAAAAAGGACCGATTGATTCAAAACATGAAAATTGCAGAAATTTCTAACCTCACGAATCCGCCTTAAGCAGCCACCATCCTCTCCATAAATGGAAGGAACAAGGGCTCTAGGAACAACAACATCCACTGTTGTATGAGTAGCTAAAGCTGACTGGTTTCCTCTGCAAATTTAACAAGGCAGAGAAAAAATTAAATGAAAACGTGAAAATCAACAAGAAGAGAGGAGGCATTTACATACGTACCACTCAATTCCTTTGTATTTACATATCTAACCTAAACTTTGCTTTTTTACATTTATATCACCCAAATCTTTCATATCAAATAAACAATACCACAAGTTTAACTTTTAAAAGTGAAATATTACTTTTCATGCATTGGTAAGGTGGTATGTATGTAAAAATTCAAGTTTGTGTCAGATATGTAAATACATAGGAATTGAGTAGTATGTAAATCCTAGCAAAAAAATATTGATCGAAGAACTGCCAAAAAACCGATGAGGAGCAGTTTGTACATATACAAGTTGTTTTAAGAGATTGGCATTGAGCTCCAAATGTGAGTTTCAATTAGTGCTATCAAACGGACAAGAGAAGTTCATATAAGCCCCTCATGAACAAGACCTTCTAAAAAGCTCTAACCGGTTGGCCATACATAGTATGAGAATAAATGGGCTCAACATCATGGGATTAGGGTTGGTTCATTAGTTCATATATATATATATAAAGGTGAAATTGATATTTGGTCCAATGGGCACCAAATATCGATTCCCCCAAAGGATTGAAAACCCTGGTGTG